ACAACTGACTGCTACACTGACCAGATGAGCAGGTACAGCTCTCATGACCATTTCTAATGCATATTTTCTCAACAGGTACATTTTAGTAGATATTCTAATAAATTTGAGCTTTAAAAATGCTTTAAAAAAACCCTTCCATCAGATGTAAAATATGTATATACTCTACTGTTCAAAAGTGACAGTAAAGGCATTTCTAAAGTTACTTAAGATTTCTGTTTCAAATAAATGCTGCTCTTTTGCACTGTTTTCCTCGAAGAATCTTGAAAAAATAAATTGTTCATGGTTTCCACAAACATTTTAAGAAGCACAACTGATTTTTGTAAACATTAATAATGATTATTACTATAATAACATAAAAAAAAATACTGGGTCTTTCTGGCCCATATAATAAAAAAATAATGTAACCCTTCAAACTAGGGCTGTTAATTAATTAAATTTTTAATGTATACATTTAAAACAAAAATTAAACTTAGAATTCTGCAAATAACTTAATTTCAATAAAATGTGTTTATATTGTTTTTAATACTCTAAATCCAATATATTAAAGCAACAACTGGTGTCTTTTGTTGTACTACAAACTCTGACAGCATCTCTTTAATGCTCAGGTGACTCGAGAGATTTTTTCAGCTCTCAGTGACGGATGGACCTAAGAAAGGTGTGCGGTCAGAAAGCCCTGTCCAGGCGGCCCATTTTTACAGCTGAAGCCATTGAAATGACTGCAAAGCCCTGACGTCTCCATGGGTTAAAACAGCCTGTGGCCAATCGCAGGACTGATCTGATTGTACAGGACTGATTATTATTATTTACCATCGGCTGTTACTTCTGTCATTGTAATTATAATTATTACAATTATTATTACTGTTCTTTTTTTTTATCAAGTATACCCATTTTCTTTTTAATGACTTGAGAAAATGTAAGAATCTTGAACGTTTCTTGAAAACGACTTGCTCCCAAACCATAATGTAAAGGTGGGACGAACTGTCATTTTTGTCTCTTGCGTTGTTTTGTAACATGACAGCTCCGCGCCGACGTGAAGGACTATATGACGTTTTTCTTCGTTTGGATGCTTGTATTCTCCGGTTCTGTTAGTCCGTCCTGCCACAGTGGTTTAAATTATTCAGAAAGACAACAGAACGTTCTTTTTCTACCTTTTTCACGAGTATTACAACTGCTCCTATATGTAATTTCTCTTTTGTGAATATGTAAATGAAAACAGGAGGGAGGCGTTATTGTACAGTGGTGCATTTTGGGCCTTTGGTGGTTATCAAAGCTTGTTGTAATGGATTTGCCATGCACAGCGTATTCTTTGAAATGTCTTTTTGTAAGCTCTCTCCTGCATATACGGAGAGGTGATGGGAACTCTGAAAAGGTACTACCCCATTAATACAATGATGCACCTTCTTAAGAATGAGCTTGTATGGGAGTGTGGTGTTTAAGTTATTCCTCACGTATGCATGCTGCAAAAAACTGAGCGCTTCAGGCTAAGGATATGTGATACAACCCAGTTTACTCTGCAGTTGGCTTATCAAATATTGATATCTTTAGGCCAAAGTAGAGCTTCACACACTCATCACACATTTTCCTTAAAAAAAAATTTTTTTTTTTTTTTTTATGTATTCAAATGTGAAGGATGTATACACATACAACAGACTGTAGTTGTAAACATTTTTGGAAAATCTCAAAAAGTAATGTGTAATTTGACACTTGCAACCAAAGATACTGAGCTTAGCAGTTTAAAGGATGTTTTTTTTGGGAATGATATTTTTATAGACACGTTTTCATGAACTGCCATAATATCTAAAGCAGAATAGGTAGAATATAGGCTTATTTCATTCCTTACAAAACACACGTCAATTTGGAGTCACTTGTGGTGGAAAAAAATGACACTACGGATATCAGGCAAACTATATTTTAATGTTTTTCATTTGTTATTAAAGGGATATTTAATCCAAAAATAAAAAGCTGTTGTTTACTCACCCTCATGTTGTTCCAAACCTGTATAACCTGTATTTTTTTCTTTGGAACATAAAAGATATTTTAAGAAACATTTCAGTGTTTTTTTTTTTGTCCATACAACGCAAGTCAGTGGTACCAAACATTTGTTTATCAACGTTCTTTAAAATATCCTCTATTGTGTTTCACTGAAATAATCAAGTCATACGGGTTTGGTACGACATAATTAAAGGGGTCATATGAGGTTGCTAAAAAGAACATTATTTAGTGTATTTGGTGTAATGAAATGTGTTTATGCGGTTTAAGGTAAAAAAACACATTATTTTCCACATACTGTACATTATTGTTTCTCCTCTATGCTCCGCCTTTCTGAAACGCGTCGATTTTTACAAAGCTCATCGTTCTGAAACGCGAGGTGTGCTCTGATTGGCCAGCTATCCAGTGCGTTGTGATTGGCCAAATACCTCAAGCGTGTGACAGAAATGTTACGTCCCTTACCATACTGTGATTCCCTGTCCGGTCGGAGCAACGAGACAAAAACATTAAAACCCATTACAAACGAGGCATTTGTTGCATCCAGTGGCGACATAATTACAGATTATAATGATTTATACTGTCTTTTTACGCATTGCATTGCATCGCGTTGCGTAAACATAAAACCATGTCTGCATTTGTGATCGGAGAAATGACAAACGAGCGCTACTCTACACTGCTCAAAATTCGAATTTGAATCATCAGTGGCAAATCCTTTAAATATAAAAACGTACTTACAGTCTGTGAGTCAGAACAGCCGGCATTGTAGTCTACTCTACCAGGAAACAGTCCTCCATAAAATGTGCTGCACACAAATTAATATTTGGGTTGAACTGTCCTGGCACAGTGTTGTAAATACAACTTAACCACTGATTTCTAGTCGTGTCCTCTTTTGGAAGACCAAACAAAGTAGTTTCGCTTTCACAATGAAACACGGCGGGCTAGAGTGAGCGGAGGCCGGTGGGCTTGAGAACAGCGCGGCCAGCGGATTCGATGAAAGAGCGTCCGGCGGGCTTGCGGCAACCACATGTGACGACCCCGGGCTGGACTCCGCTTCGTCCACGGTGAATCCAGCGATCCACAGCGCGAAGTTGTTGTATTTCCTCAGCGACCAGCAGGGATCAGCTCCAGGCACGACAAAGCGGATATCGTCCTCTTTTGGAAGACCAAACAAAGTCGTTTCGCTTTCACAACGAAACACACAGCGCCTTCACGACATGGCAGCATCAACAAAACTACAGCAAGAATGAAAGTTACGCCTTCTTTCTTTGCGTGAACATTTGGGCAGCGTTATGCAAATCTTCCCACATAGTGAGGTAGATATGTGGGGGCGTGTCAGTACGAGGCGTTTTAGGTAGGCGTGGCTGACTCTTTTATAAAGAATATCTCTTTGGATTTGAGACTTTAGTCTTTGCAACTTTACAGATCTTCTTTATGCACCAAGAGCTTGTAACACTCCGAAGAGAAAGGAAAAATTTTAATCGCATCATATGACCCCTTTAAACAATGACAGAACTTATATTTTTGGGTGAACTGTCCCGTTAAGTGGTTATATTTTGTAGAAAAGAGAGATTATGGTCCTGCAGCCACAGGGTTTTATGTTTATAGCTGTAAGTAAAGTCCAGGATTTTAACATAAGACACCCCATATTTAATGTGTTAATTAAACTGAATTGTGATATTGATATGCACCTGTGATTTTTAATTGATAATTTGTGTTTTATTGTATTACTGCCACATAATCAAGCACTGTCTATAAGTTTGACATTTGCTGTGCCTCGTGTTCGGTTGCATGAGCTTTTCAGCTCGAAGCCCTGGAGCTAGAGGCACTTGGACTCGAATCTGGCACGGAATCTTATATTTTGGACTTAATATGAATTAAAATTAATAATAAGTACAAACAACATACAAACCCAATTCCAAAAAAGTTGGGACACTACAAATTGTGAAATATGTCATCTATGTTGTATTCTGAATTAAATATATTGAAATTTGAAATTTCCACATCATTGCATTCTGTTTTTATTCACAATTTGTACAGCGTCCCAACTTTTTTGGAATCGGGTTTGTACAATTAAAGTAAGACAAGGGCCTAGACTCGACAAGGTGGACTCGGACCCAACAGTAGCCTACCTGGAGCACTGGCCCCACTGGCTGTATTCTACTCTTATACCCCAGTACTCAATATTTCAATTATGGCTGTGGTTCATTTTTACCATATTAACATACAGCATAAAACATAATGCTAACAATACGTCATGGGGCTCATATTTAACACAAGAGTGATGCTGACGTTGAAAACGCTATGTGTATTCCATCAGTGGATCTGAGCATATTCTTTTCAGCATTTTTGAAACAAGCAGGATAACTTAATATAGCATACTCGTGTGTTTTCCTTATTTCCGTGCTTTTTTTTTCTTTAAATAAAAATTTCAATTTAAATAAATTATATATATATATATATATAATTTCTTTAAATTTAACTTTTTCATTTTTCTTTCATTTTGTGTCCCAGTTCAGTCATGATATTCAGCTCATAAAAATATAATCTAGAAAAATATATTTTACATTTTAGCCCACACTGTAAATTATGTAGCCTACAAATTACAACAATACTATAATTCCTTTACATAAATGACTAAGAAGATTTTGCACGTTTGAATAAAATGCTAATGAAAATGTCAGTTTCATATGTTTTGAATTGCCATAAAAGTCGTTCAGCGATTGGCATTTTACAGTCACATCCTTCGATCACTCCGTCCTCGGCTCATTGAGAATCAAATCAAGCATGCTCGAATGAGTCGACTCGTGATTCAGTTTAGCCAGTGGAAGAGAGCGGCTCAGAGTCAGACCAAGGGTGCGTTTCCCAAAAGCATCGTTAGCTAACTATGGTCGCAAGTTCTATTGAACTCTATTGGTAACGACGGAACGTTCGAACAAATCAGCTTTTGGTGAACGCATCTTTTAAAAACTAGTTTTGTGAATCGATTCATCACAAAGATCCGACTCAAAAGCATGATTCGATGCCGAATCGTACGTCGCTACTAGGTAGGCTGCTCGCTGTGTTTTGAAACGCAGCCGGTGTGTGAGCATGTGCCGTTACTGCTGCAGTAGAGTACAATATGTCAGTTATCACCGGACAGCGGCGAGAGGACAGAAAGAGCCGGCTACAAATGTACTCTGAGGGGCAACCGGTGCAACGAGTTTCTGTTTAACACCAAAATGAGTCCCGGCTCCTCTACATCTACAGCAGCGGAAGAATAAGAAGGTAAGTCTCGCCGGCTTTTAGGATGTTTCATCAGACCCAGTCGAGTTTCCTGCATGGGCTATCCCACAATTTACACGAGCTCGAGTCAGAGTACACCGGTGCACCTTTCTGAACGTTTACTCGCCCACAAGCTCGCTGTTTTACGGACTGTTATCACCCAAATATGCGAACGAGGAAGTCAACGCTGCCATCTCCATCGCATTTGATCCTAAACGCGCTAATTTGCGCTCAAATCTTTAATTACGAAGAAACTTGCTCAAGTTTGACCATTTGCAGTGTTGCATCTGTCTATATCGTTTCTTTGTTGTCCGATACAAAAACGACAGGAAACTTTATGTAACGTTTTTACTAGAAAAACGAAGTGCTCAGAGTCCGCACTGCTGTAAATGCCACTGTAGTGTGGCGCTCGACAGAGTGGAGTTGCGTCTGCGCAGGCGGCGCGGCGCTGCAGTGGTCGGTTGTCATGGAGGCCTGCGCTGCGCATCCGACCGCCGCTGCTGCTGTCACGACCGCGGTGTATTCAGTCTCACACGGAAAACCCTCACATTTACATATCCCAAACCATTTGTATTATGAAGAACATGTCAGGTGCTAATCAAGTCGCATCATTATTTTTTGACGACACTTCCGAAACAGACAGTATTTTGAGTAAACAGACCAAAAGAGTTCAAATTCTTTACACGTATTGGCGTCACTTGCTATAAACAGACCTTTGGCACTGGCTTCTCACTTCTTCCATCTCAGTCACCCAATAGCGTATATAAACATGACACGTGCCCTTTAAGAGGTCGTTCTGGGATAGTTTGGATGGGTCGATATTTACTACGCAGACTATGTCCTCTGGTGTTTCATAGCGCTAAGCTGAAGCCCCACTTACATCAGCAGCGTGAGATCAAAGACACTCAAAGCTTACTTGATTAAATCGGGGGATTTGCTGTTTAGTTTGGCAGATCAGCTCCACGCTGTTTCACTTGCCCACATCTCAATCTTGCTTCTCAAAATAAGACTGTAGTTATGGTAAATGTCGGCTTGTCATTATTTTATTCTTCAAAGAAGACTTGCCATGTCAGTCTTTTTTAACATCACTGTGGCTTGGTGCTGTCATGTGACTAACCCTCTCTAATAAGGCTCAGAAGTTGTTAATCTCTTGGCGCTGACCCATATGTTAGCAGTCTGGGACATACTTGTGGTCCTTTCGGGGGAACAAACTGAAAGGATAAGCTCTTGGAGTCACTTGAAGTAAAAAGTATATAAGAGGACTGACTGCAGAGTGGGACTGGGTGGTCCTGATCCACCTAATCATGAGCTTGGCCCACCCTGAGAGTCCTATGGCCAACCATATTTTAAAGCTGCAGCCAGACCATATTAAACTACCATGATATCGCTAGCAGAATGATTTATATAGCCTACTTATTATAGAGTTGATTATTAGTATTAGTATTGATTATTTTTGAATTCATTTTAATTTTTTCAGTTTTCATTTTAATAGATTTAGTTTTATGTGCTTTTGTTTTTATAGTTCTGTTTACCTTTATTTTAGTTTTTAGTAATTTAATTAAGCTTAAATTTATTGTATTTCAATTAGTTGACAAGGCAGCATTTCTAATGTTTAAGTTTTTTTTATTTAACTTTTCCATTTAATATTTTATTTGATTTAATTTTTTTAATTTATTTCAAATAAAAATAACTATTTTTAATAGTTTTAGTTCACAATAACAATACTGGTAGCGCTACAGTACTTTTTCATCTTAAATTAAGACAAAAATTATGTATTTAATTATTGTATATATCTAGAATACATTTTCCGCCCCCCAAAAGTCCCTTTTTTCAGAAACGGAGGGTTGCAGATTGTGAAAAGTATTTTTTAATCATACTTTTAGTTTTTTATTATTTTAATCATTTAATATAAATAATGCTGGGTAAGATTTTATTAGTAATAGACCAATATATTGGGAAAATTTAGGCCATTTTAAGATTATTGAAATTTGCATTTTTTTAATAAATATAAGCATTTAATGTTGACAAATTCACTTATGTCTCCCTCTCTCTCTCTCTCTCCCGCACTCTCTGCCTTTGAAAAACATATCAATTAACCAAAAATTATGTGACTGTTATTATTTAGCCTCTCCTTATTACTAACGGCTTTCAGCTACTGTTGTTTTGCATTTTTTTAAATTTGTGCCTCATTAACGCTGATGAGTGAAACTCAGGATGAATTGTCCGCCCCATGCTGAAGAATTTATTGAAACTGGTTCTGCCTCTGTCATGAAACATGATCATCCTTTAACAGCCCTGAGGAGGCTTATCAGCACTTCTCTTACCTGATGAGAAGAATGTAGGCTGTGTGCGGGCTGGAGCCAAGCTGATGTCTAGAGTAGCTGAGCTGTGTGCGCTATTGATCCATTGCCATTTATATTTGTGCAGAGTGAAGTGAACTCATGGCAAGAGACCAGAGCTCTCATCAGTCACCTCTAGAAATAGCAGTAATAAGAATGCATCGGAGCCTGTCATTCCAGTGCGTCAAAGGAGAATGTTATAGTATATTATCCCTGCTATTGATGTGCCTTTGTTCTCTTGGCAGGTGTGTGCTTGATATTGACAAAAAGAAGGACAGAGTGGGAAAAAAAACACAACAACTTGGATAGTGTAGCCTTTATGATGTCTGAAATTCCCATAGTACTCAAATGGGCACTTAAAGGGACAGTTCACCAAAAAATATTATGCCATGCATTTAAAAAAAAAATGTTCCATGGAGCACAAAAGGAGATATTTTGTGCAATGTTCAAGCTGCTCATCTACAGGTGCATCTCAATAAATTAGAATGTCGTGGAAAAGTTCATTTATTTCAGTAATTCAACTCAAATTGTGAAACTTGTGTATTAAATAAATTCAATGCACACAGACTGAAGTAGTTTAAGTCTTTGGTTCTTTTAATTGTGATGATTTTGGCTCACATTTAACAAAAACCCAAAAAAAATTTTTTTTATTGGTATTATGTAGTATTCTAATTTGTTGAGATAGTGAATTGGTGGGTTTTTGTTAAATGTGAGCCAAAATCATCACAATTAAAAGAACCAAAGACTTAAACTACTTCAGTCTGTGTGCATTGAATTTATTTAATACACGAGTTTCACAATTTGAGTTGAATTACTGAAATAAATGAACTTTTCCACGACATTCTAATTTATTGAGATGCACCTGTATATGGCGGAAGCAACAACCAAGCTCCAGAAAAATAGTCCATGCACTGCCATTGTGTGCTACTTAAGTGAATCAGTATTGTTTATGTAATATTGTAGTGTTTATTAATATTTCAGCTTTTATTTTCAGTTCACACACACACACACACACATTTCTGTATAGCTTTACATTTACTTATTTCAGTTTTAGTAATTTTAGTACTTTAACTTTCAGTTACCAGAAATTATTTTTGAATATCTTTAGTTAGCAGTAAAAACACTAAAATAAATGTTGTGGGTTCAGTACAAGTTAAGCTTAATCAACAGTTCTTGTGGCATTGATTACCACAAAAAATAATTTCCACAAAAAAATCTGGGTTACATGAGGCACTTACAGTGGAAGTGAATGGGGTCAATCTGTAAATGTTAAAATAATATTGTTAATGTTTTAATTGTGTAGCGACAAGACAAACAATATGAATGTAAAAAAAATGTGATTTTAATGTAAAGATATCACTAACCTTCACTTTTTAAAGTTATATTAAATTTTACAACAACTTCATTGCCATGACAAGCTTTATCATAATACGTAAGAATAAATGTAAGTTTCACATTTCTGCTTTTGAATCCTCCAAATATTGCATTCCATTGTAAGTGCGTCACTCTGTGTTAGTGCCTTTCAGTTTTTTAAAAAGAAAATGAGAGACGGATACTGTTCCCGTTTGTAGTAATTAACCTAATGCCATGAATGCCTGTGATTGAGCATCATTTGCTAAAACAGCTTTAAAATATTCCACTTATTTGCATTTGGCACACATATCTGAAATACCATTTCATGTACTTTGCCCTTACTAATAGACAAATTCTACAACCAATTCCTCTCTTTATTTGCACATAACAGTGATTCCCTGGCGGCTAGACAGAAACAATTCTTATCATCCAATGTCACAAAGCAGTCGTTCTGCTTTGATGCTGCTCTGTGCAGCTGAGCTTGCGTGTCTGTGTGGTATAGTGATGACCAGGCTGTCAGCAGTGACTGGTCTGTTCAGGTTGCTGAGAAGGTCAATAGAGGTTTGACAGGAGGGATCAATAGCAATGCTGACTGCAAGGCCAGTAAACAGAGGCAGACAAAGTACTCAACTCCATTACTTGAGTGAAAGTACATAAACAGGTAACATGTAAACACTGTACCATACAACTCTTAATGCAAGGTTGTCCGGATGACTGAGCACTTGTGTCTTCTATTGTGGCTCAAGAGCTGTCTTATCTCAGTGCATAGATTAATATTTCATAATGGCCTTTCCATTAGAGTGCAGAATATCAGCCTTTTAGCAATGTGTGCTGCACTCTCATGGAGTTACTCTGATACAACCTTTGGAGTTTCCAAGTATGAAATGCAATTTTTATCAAGTGTTATTTATAACACCTCTCACCATCTCATAAAAAAAAAATAAAAAAATTAACAATAGACAAAAACAATGTCTAAACAGTATTGTTTAAATTACACAAAAAAGTAAAAACAATAATGTAATCAGAAATGGAAACGGTAAGATAAATGATTAATCAAAAGTGACACTGAATACTTTTACACTGTTGCAAAAATTTGTTTCAAATAAATGCTATTCTTTCTTTATAACTTTATATTCATCAAAGAAAAATAAATGCATCGTACTCATAATCAGAACTGTTTTCAACATAATAAGAAATGTTATTTAAGCAGCAAATCAGCATATTAGAATGATTTCTGAAAGATCACGTGACAGCGAAGACTGGAGTAATGATGCTGGAAATTCAGCTTTGCCATCACTGGAATAAAATCTCTCACCATCTCATAAAAAAAAAATAAAAAATTAACAATAGACAAAAACAATGTCTAAACAGTATTGTTTAAATTACACAAAAAAGTAAAAACAATAATGTAATCAGAAATGGAAACGATTAATGATTAATCAAAAGTGACACTGAATACTTTTACACTGTTGCAAAAATTTGTTTCAAATAAATGCTATTCTTTCTTTATAACTTTATATTCATCAAAGAAAAATAAATGCATCGTACTCATAATCAGAACTGTTTTCAACATAATAAGAAATGTTATTTAAGCAGCAAATCAGCATATTAGAATGATTTCTGAAAGATCACGTGACAGCGAAGACTGGAGTAATGATGCTGGAAATTCAGCTTTGCCATCACTGGAATAAAATACATTAAAAAAAAGAAATTAAATATTTATAAAAATCTTAAAATATGAAAACAGTTCTTTTAAATTATAATCATGTCTCATGTTACTGTGTTCACTGTATTTATGATCAAAGAAATGAGCCGTTGTAACTATAAGATACTTGTTTGAACACAAACACAAAAAATGTAGTGTGTGTATATGATATATATATATATATATATATAAAAGGCTGTATATTTCTTCATAGTGTGTTCTTGCTATTGTTAAGGAACTAAGAGCTTTACTTGTAGTACACTAAATATTTTCTGTCCCGAGCTGGTTAAAATGTTAAGCATGCCCAGTTCAGAACATTTGGAGATGCTTGTAACACCAGACGCTCTTCCTTTTTGTGAAGATATTTTAGAAGAGCTGGAAGATTTTAGAAACAGTGGCTGCGTTTATCTCAGTAACACTTTTGACATCTTTGATGTGTGAGGCTTTTATCATATGCACGGATTTTTTTTGGTGAGATTAAAATTACAACACTTAGAAATTCTCATTCTTAGTGTTAGGTTAACAGAATTCTTATAATATTATACACTATTATAATTTTCACAAATACAATGGAATAATGTGTATTTAATGTGTATATCGTAATACACTATTGTAAAAAAATAGATTTAGTCTTACACTGATAGCTACAAATAAGTGCAATATATGATGGAATGTATTTCCCAATAGACTTATATTGTAAGTGTATTACTGGAAACACAAATATTCTTTGTTTTTAGGGGAAAGTTGAAATGAATGTCTGTGGTTATGGACAGCATGTTATAGAAGCTTAAGTTGTTTTGCACCTGTAACATTCCTTTAAAACAAAGCTATTACTCCACTCAATTTAACAGGACTGTATGTTTACATTTTTTTTCCCCATTTTAGTACATGAGTACCACATTAGCATCAGCAGCAAAGCTCAGAAGTACCGCTCTCTTTGGACCCTGACAGACAGAGTGGAGTGTGGACAGTGAGACAGCAGGTTGGTTAAATCTGCAAATATTACCGTTTTTCATAATGTCCCACTCTTGTTTGTTTTTTTGACCCACCCTCTCTATCCATTGAATCCTCAGTCTAGTTTAATCACAGTACAGGCTATATTAGTTTTTGTTTTTCAAATAAGACTAGCAGATCTATTTTAAATGTGATGGTGCACTTTGTAAAGGTTTGTATTCGATCTAAGGCGGTGTGAATTATAGAGTCACTTGAGTTCCCATGATGGCCTTGGAGCAAGACACTTAACCTCCATGTGCTCTCGGATGACTGTCCCTACAATTAGCCTACAGTAAGCAGCTTTGGCTGAGAGAAATGTTTGCTAAATGGCAAGTAACCAAAGTGTAATTGATAGGCCATAATGAGATCACATTCATCTCTAATTCATTTACACACACATCTTCAGCAGCAGTTGAATATCAAAAGAGTCATAATTGCCTAAGAATTGACCAGCCATCTCTACGGATTCACTGTGATGTTAGTTGTACACAGATGAGCTTTTTAGGACTTTAAGCTCTTCAGAGGCCCTCTGACATATGATACTGTATTTTAAGCTGTACAGTGTGTGTGTATGTACATGGATTTAAAGCAAAGGACAGTTGAAAGTGTTTGTTGGCTCATGTAACTAGGATCAGTTATTTTTCGCTTATGTCTGCAAGTGACCCCGTTCATTAATCCAGCTCATATGCTCCTTGAGATTATATTCTGTCATTTATTAATAGTATATTGTAGATGCTACTACTGTGTGTTGTCATGCAGCATTTGTATTTTGTTGGGTATGTTTGGTGTAGCATAGTACTCTACTCTATTTGTTTCTGCAATATATAAACTACCGTTGAAATGTTTGGGGTTGGTACTATTTTTGATGTCTCTTATGCTCAACAAAGCATTTATTTAATTTAATATTTATAATAACTGCTTTCTATTTTAATATATTTTAAAAAGTAACATTTATCAGCAGTTTATATAAATGCATTTACTGTCTCTTTTGAACAAAAGTATCTCCTTGCTGAATAAAAGTATTAATTACAATTAATAATAAATAAAAAAATTTTACTAACCCCAAACATTTGAACGGAGTGTAAATTGGGCACAACATGCAAATTTTTTGTATGAATAAATTACCCAATTGGCCTACTATTTGGCCCAGATTTGCCAACAAAACCGTGCCCACAATCAAAGTTACTGCTGTTTTACATATTATTTTGTATACACTGTACATACTATATAGTATACACTGTATACTGCACAGTATGCTAGTATTTCATTCAGAACATAGCCTCTGTTGCAGCGTATGCAGATTTGTAACACTTTTATTCATTTATTTTTTTTACCTCCTGAAGCTTATACGTCAAAATAAAAGGAAGATGATCAACATGGCAAACACAATGACCCCTGAGCCCCTTACAGCCCTCTCTCGATGGTACTTGTATGCCATCCACGGTTACTTCTGTGAAGTCATGTTCACGGCCGCCTGGGAGTTTGTGGTGAATTGCAACTGGAAGTTTCCCGGCGTGACGAGCGTGTGGGCGCTCTTCATCTACGGAACCTGCATCCTGATCGTAGAGCGCATGTACCTTTGTCTACGGGACCGCTGCAATGTGCTGCTCCGCTGCATCATTTACACACTGTGGACATACCTGTGGGAGTTTGGCACGGGTTTGCTGCTACGACAGTTCGACGCTTGTCCATGGGACTACTCAGAGTTTAAATATAACTTCATGGGCCTGATCACGGCAGAGTATGCTGTGCCTTGGTTCTGCGCCTCCTTTATCGTAGAACGCCTAGTGATCCGCAACACGCTCCGGTTGTGCTTCGACGAGGCCGCCAATCCCGGCCAGTCTGAAGAACGTTCGGACAGAGGTGGTGGAGGACGAGGAGGCGGAGGGCGAAGAGCACGAGGGGCCAGAGCAGGGGCCACCAGCGCAAATGGCTACGTGAAGGTGGATTGAGGATGTTGTCAACACCTATCCCCATCTCAAAGCTCCCGTCACCCATGACTCTCACCGCACATCTATCAATCTCTCTCCCATTTGCTTCCAGGGAAAGAGTTGCTCGGACACAGCTGGTGCAGCTCCAACAGAGAGTTGCACAACTGTGAGGAACTTTCTGATTTATCGTCCAGCTGGCGTTCTTCACTCTTGTGGAGGGACGTTCATTTGCCACCTCAGTGCTCAACGTTTACTGCTCTTGCTTTGGGTGAGTAGCCATTAAGTTAAAGGTTTGTCTGTAGGAGTGGTGCCTGATGGCAAAATGAGAATTGACCCTCCACCTCTACCACCATACTGTACCTCCCAAACCAGTCCATTCACTCCGACACTCTGGGAGGGGACAAACAAAATGACTCGTGTTCCCTCGTCCAAAACGAAACAAAAAACAGGAATGCAAACACATCACTTGTAGAGAGATTTAGATTATAAACAGTGTGTATGATGTATATGTAGTAGCAAAAGCAAATAACTGTTGGGATAGCTTACCTTTTGAATGTTAGTTTGTGTTATTTATTAATATCTAAAATGTAGTTAAGAAATGTCATGATAATATATTAAAAATGTATTGTGTATATCTACTGTATAACCTAAAGCAATGCCTTGTACTTGAATTTGGTGTTTTTTTACATTCTTCAAAAACTTCAGTGCTTGAACATGCATGAAAGTTGTCTTCCAGGAGATTTTTTCATATTCAGACTGATCTTAGATGTTGCGTACAATTTATTTCCTCCTCTTTTTTTTTCTTCTTTGTTTATTTTTCTCATGGAGATGAAGATCCAAAGGAGTACTGTATTGTTTTTACATATATAGAGGCCTGGTGCTCAGTACTGAAACTATAAAAACATTACAGTTTCCTGTGTTTTCACGGGAGAGAATGAGTTGTTGTGGTAAAAGTGTTGATGAACTGGTGCTAGTTTCTCATTGAGTCTTTTAAGGGATCTGATGATAGTCACAATAAAGGCATCTAGAATGTAGATTCACTGGTTCACTGACCTCAGGTACATCAATGTTAATTATTTCAGCTCTGTCTCTCATATGCCATGAAGTAACGGATTAAGAGAAATATATATAAAATGCCAACATCACCTTGGTATTATCCGCATGGTTACAATTTCAGGTTATGGATTTGCCAGAAAGTTTTGTTGTATTGGTTATGTTGTACTGACCAAACAAAAAATTTATTAAAGCCACAAATTTTTGAATGAATTGAATTTCCCCTCAATATTGTTGGTTTTACTTTTTTTAAGTGAAAAGGTCTGTATTTAGTCTTTATCTCAACTTAATACAAAAGTTGCAATTAAAATTTCAAATGTTAAGTTCATAGTTTTGATAGTGTAGCTGCGCAGCTTTTGTTCTGAAGTTCATTGTAATGTCACAGCGTTTGGCACGCCTGTCTCTTTGGAGTGCTAGATGATTGTCAAAGTTATACATTTTAGTTGATTATCAAGTGCACTTTTCTGTTCCCTTGAAATTTTGCGTTCCTATTTGTAAGCGGTGCATTGCCATTGTTCTTGTATTGCAATCACTCTCTATAACATAATACAGATCAGGCCATATCAGCAAATGTACGGCGGTGATGGAGATGGTCTTCAATGCCATGTCTGTTCACCTGTTTATACAGCCGTGCATTCAGGCAATAATAATGTGATATGCGGAAGGAATGCATTAAGTGTTGTCATTTGAATTTTAAATGTGTGATTTAAGCAAATAACACCCTGCGACTCACACTTACACACATACATTTAACAGTTTTTTTCCCAGTTCATTAAAACAGTAATGGCTTTACATATAAATTCTGGGAGACTGGGAGAAGATGGCCTGGCAGATGACCAAAGTGTGGCAGTGTTTATCCCTTTCTGCTGTTCTGAACACTCACCTAGTAGTTATTTGGATATTAGCATATCTTTCAGAAAAGAAATGACACTTGACTTCGTGCTGGGCGGTATACCGGTTCATACCGAATACCGGTGTTTTTAGTTTTGTTATGATATGAATTTTTAAAATACCGTAATACCGGTGTATATCGCTTAAACAACGTTCAGAACGCGACACTGTTTGAAAGAGGTCCCTTTTCACTGTTGCACTGTGCTGAGGGAACAGCTGTATGTGTTACTAAGCGTGAAAGTTCAGAAACTGAAGCTGTAGAACTAATAGAACGTGATGACACAGAAGAACTCATTGAAAATTGTTTCCTTGAAGTGACCATCGTATGTTCCCTTCACTAACGGACTTCTGGAAGGGCCCTTCGTGAAGGGATTCATGTTCACTTTTATTTGGATGTCCCTACAAATGGCATCCCCTTCCCGAAGTGCCCTTCAAGTGTGCAAAAAAGCTGTGTGGAATTCGCTGATCGAGTGTACACCAGTTGTACACTCATTAGTGTGGCGCATTATGGGATTGAATGAGCTCACTTGATAATGCCCACTATGGTTTTGAACAAATCACTACACTTGGCTGTCTCTTCAAATAGCGCATTATATAAAGGTATAGGGAACAATTTCGGATATAGCCTGTTTTTTAATGAATCAGTTGACTGAACGAGTCAAAACTGTTTTTACAACAGCTGTATCCAAAATTGCCCCCTATACCCCCATTCACTCTTCCCTATACTTTTGTCCACTAATATAGTCTACCTAATGAGTGGATGAAAACAAGTGAGTGGATTCGGACAAGAGTGTGTCGAAGTGCTGCAGATGCCATCTTAACTGAGACGCTCACAGTGCATGGCTTTACATTTGTTACTGAGGTGGTGTATTATGGGATTGAATGAGCACACAATGTCTATATGGTTTTGGATATTACCTCCAGACACCTAACCCACACATAGTGCCCTATAAAAGGATATAGTTTGCAATTTCAGACACAAACACACATATCGCTCTCCTACTAGTGTAATAATGCAAGTGAACTGAATCAGTGATTGAAATCTGAATCAGTGATTGAATCCGAGTCTGTTTGGATGATCTACATCTAGAATTTTCATTTTTGGGTGAACAGTCCCTTTAAATAGGTTAATTAAGGTTTATATTACGAGTCCGATTCTCTAAACATTAGGCCACGACTTCCCATAAGTGAACATGTGAACCATTTCTCATACAAACACTTCTCGAATCTAATAAAAACCAAAGCACTTCATTCATTGAGGCTGAACAATCATGTACCTTGTTATTAGACACTGAAGAGGTTAAATGCAGGTTAATATATAAATGTGATGTTGCCTTATGACCACTAGATAGCGTCCTATCACCACTGCAGAACCCGGATTTGGAGCCTTCACCAACAAGTGTAAGGTAACTTGCTTAATGTTAACAAACCACAGTTGCTACAGTTATTGTTACGAATGTAAAATCATTATAAATTATTATGGGATCTCCTTTAAGCTTTTCAGTTTCCAGCATTTGCTAATGCCGAGTTATCACAGTTGTATAGTAGCAACCATAAATTTTGTTTACCACAGTACATTTCTATTCTGCTAGACTTCACCTCAGATTTCATGAAGTGTGTATCATAATGTATCAGTGTACATGGCATGTTTTGTTACCTTTCAGATACTATGCTGTCTTTGGGCTATGTGAGCTGTGTTTCTGTGTCAGACTGGTCCACACCTCATGTCCTCATCAGCTTATGTCCTACAATGGCTGGAATCTATAGAGTTCATTATATGAACATGGTATTTTTTGTCCATTTAGCTGTTTTTGCTTTCTATCAATAGGCCAGAGCCTTAGGCCTGATTATACAACTTATGACAGGTATATTGTTTTCAATATTTATTTCAGAACTTCAGAAAATTAACAAGCTCATTTAGTTTCAGACATGTACATTTGATTGCATTTTGTCACTTAATCCTAACTATGCATTTTAATCCTTGTGTCACCATATATCATTGAAAGGCTTTTCAACCTATGTGCTGTCTTTCTTGTCTCCAGTTTCCTGCCCTTTTTGTAGACTCTTTCAAAAAAAAAACCTGTGGCTATCTAGGGCAATTATGCGTCACATCAAATCCTTCAATTGCGATTTGGCAACTCTTTTCTCATCGCTGTTGATTGCAGTGACAGCACGCCTATGAGCTCACCTGACCGTAGTGGGTGTGGCCTGCTATGATGCCACAGCACCTCCAACAGCAGCACAACCAATCATCTGTCAACACTCCAAATATGGAAAGGTCCTAACCCTTTAAAGAGCAGGTGAAGCATAAATAGCCTTTATTTCCCTCCCGATGTGTGTGTAGAGTCTCTCTGTCTGATTTCTGTAATGTTTCTCTGATTTCATTCCAGCTTAATGAAGCAGCAAAGCGGCTCACAATGGGAGACTCCAGCTCAAACAGCTCCAGGATTAACAGCCCAGGAGGGGTTTGGTTAAATGAAGTGTCTTGCATGGGAACTGAGTCAGTGGGGAGGGGTATCACTACAGTATTCTTTAAGCCTGTCAGTCATCGAAGCTGTCAGAGTGCAGTGGAGCAGACGATGGCTTCATGCTGCATTTGAGGGGTGTGTCGAGAGTAGCCCATGTTGAATAGATCTGAGTGTCAGGGCTCAGATCCATTCATAAAGCAGGTTAGAAATGGAGAAAGAGTCCTTATAAACCATACAATGGGAGGAAACCTGCTTTACAACTGCGCTTATGTTATATGGGGTATTGCAGACAGATGCTGAATTGTTGACTAGAAAAACTGGCTTATTCCCTGTATTTAAAGCATTTTAACTGCAGGCTAGTAGAGCAACTGTTCTTATCTTAGACTTAGAGAATGGAACTGCTTTTTAAACCTTTTTTTATAATCCTGACACGTGCTACACAGTGATTGTAATGACACAAGGTTATAAACTAGGCAGTCAGATTAATTATACACACAAAGGTTATTGAGAATAGTATAAAAAGGGATCTCATAAATCATGTTGATTTGTTATCTCTGCAAACATGTCCCATGAATATTAACCAAAGTATATTAGTTAATATTCAGTATTAGTTAAAGGGGTAGTGTACCCAAAAATGACAATCTAGTCATGATTCGCTATTATGTCATTTTGAACCTGTATGACTTACTTTCTTCTCTGAAATATCACAGAGGATTTTTTTTTTCTGGTTGGACTTTTAGAATATTTCAGAGTTTTATTTTTTGTATGCATATTTCTATGCAACAGGTTGGAGGGCATAGTGGAAAAGCGATGCTATGGTTTGCAAGATGAAAAACATACAATACTAGGCTTTTTTATCTTTAAAAAGTGTCATTTTCAATCCTGGGTTATTCTGTTCCATGTTTAACAGTGTTCATACCAGCCTGATCTCATGAGAAAATGTGTTTATGCTGTTTTACATTTTAGCGACTAGGTGGCCAATTTGTATGAATTCATACAATTTGATCTGTATGAAAATTATTTTTTTCTAAATAAAGTAAGCATGACGGTCCACCCCTAAACCTAACCATAAGTGGGGTGTATACAGATACAAAAACATATGAATGAGATTATATGAATTCAAATTCTCCATCAATTCGCCAAAACTTGTTAGTAATTCACATTTTACTATATACCCTTACCAGTTAAGTTCTGGAGATGGGCTTAATAACCCAGGGTTAAATGTTGCTTAACTTAAAGTGTAAATGTGGCCTTAACCTTGGGTTTCAAAAAATTACTATCTAAGGTTTGAATGTAGTATAAAATAGTTTTTTTTTCTCCGTATGAAGCCTGGTAGCTATATCGTTCGCCAGTAATCTAATTTTCAAAAGCCAAAACAAACAGCCACCTGTAAGACTGTACTTTGAGAGTGCTTATGTTTTTTTTTAAACGGTGGACAGCTGTATCTCTCATTCTGGCTGCTTGTTGCCGTTGTGTAAACGGCCATTGCTTATCTCCCACTCAGCTTTGCATAACGTTACACAGAGGTTTCCCACACTGCTTTGCATTTTTACCAGGGTATTTGAGCAGCAGGCTATTCTGTTTTCTTTCTCTATTCTGAGATAAGAGCAATAACTCTCCCCTCGTTTTTTCTTTTCTGGTTTATGTATCTTCTGTTAAATTTAGTGCTTTGCTGCTTGAGGGTGAGGCTTCAGTGTAAACATTAAAGCAGATGCCAAGTGGTTGTCAACCGCTGTCACATCTCAGAGTGACTGCTACAGAGATGTAGCTCCACTGCTTCTGTCTGTGACAGAATAGATGAGGATGGGGAAGAGGAATTTGCACAAGCATGGATGGA